GTGGCCATTTAACAAAACGTGTTAAATCGCGTTTTGGTTGAATATCTAAATTTTAAATTCAATAAAAAAGAAAAGAAAATTTAATTTTTAATAATTTTTACCTTGACCAATACCAAAATTTTTTGCTCGTTTTTCAAATAATGGATTGACAAGTTTTTTTGCTTCAGCTTTTGATTTAAGTGGTGCAGCGGCTATTTTCTTTTTGCCTTTTTTAGGTACACCACCTGCCGTTTTACCTGTTGATGAAGACGTTTTTGTTGTCGTCGTCTTAGCTGTGGTGGTTTTTTTTGCTGTACTACCTGTTACAGGCGACATAATGATGATTGAAAATGATTAAAATATTCAATCTAAAAATATACTCTTGATGAAATATTATCGGATTTATTTTTTTCTTTGTAAGAAATTCGAAATTTGATGAAAAAAAAAGTTTAACAACAACAACGTATTTTTCTATAATGTTAAATAATTAGCTCAAAATTAGATAGTCATTTTTATAGCTATTAGAGATCGAATTTTTTAGATCCTCTTCTTTTTATTTTATTTCAAAACGGAATTCACCATTCACACATACATATATATATATATGAAAGGGAAATAGCTAGGGTTCCTCTAACAATAGCCAATGAAGTTTTATTTTACCAAGATTTCACAGATGAACTATGATGGCAAGATTTCTTTAAAAAAACCGGACACGCAAAGGCGACAAGTACAGCATCTGAACACCAAATTTCTCTACAAGGTGCTGTGGTTATAGCCCGTGGGATCCGGAATCAACCTAACTAGCTCAAGCTGCGGTACTCATACATATTTAGAATTAGCCTAGAAATTAAGATGAGAATTATACTATTTCAATTCGATTTTTTTCAATCAAGATAAGACTATTTATCGAAAATAGCGTTTTTTTTTGTGCAATTTGACTAAAGGTTTGCGGAGACAAGGAATTTGAATCTCTATTTAGGAGTTCGATTTTTCTAGTCACAGGAAGCCTATTTCAAACGAATAGCTAAGTATTATGAAATGTGAGCAAACCGCAGAAAATAAGATTTCACTAACGAAAAAAAAAATGAACTCAAGAACAAAGATTTGGATTCCTCAACTTCGGAGACGTTTAGTCAAGTTTTATATAAAAAAAAAAATTGTTATTTTCGAAAAATAGCTTTGTTTTAATTGAAAAAAATCTAATTAAAATAGTACGACTCTTATTCATTGCTATCACCTTAATTTCCAAACATGTATCAGTATCAAGAGATGCTGAGATACTGTGAGTTCCAAACCTATACTTTCTTCCTAGTTTTCAGACCTCAGAACACAATTTTTTTTAACAATGCTATTTTAAAGAGCGTAAAATGAGGAATCACCACATTTTCTATCGCCTTCTCTTAAATTTTTGTAATACTTTTAACTTTTTAAAGAAAGATCATTTGAAAACGCGGCGATTCCTCAGTTTTTTTCACCACCTTATATTCCTAAAATAGAAAACACACAAAAAAAAAGAGATGATTAGAATATGTAAAATACTTTCTTTTGCAATTATCTATCGACTTTTTTTTTTCTATTCATCATTATAAGAATAAATTTTACATTTCATTGAGATTGATTGTTCACATTTATAAATAAATATACTTCCAATATGTTTGTTTGTGAACGACAAAAAACCTTATTAAAAATTCATTTGTCACGTTTATCAAACTTCTAAGATATCCATTGCATGTCGAATATTTGTAATGAATATCAATTTAATTAATTAATATCTAGAAACAAAAATAATTGTAATCACTATATGCGTATAAACTTTCTCTGCGAAAGAAAAAGACATTTTAATTAAAATCACAAAAGTATAAATAAAAACATGATTGTATCAATAAATAGAATAGAAAAAGAAAAAGAAAATAGAACCCATAATTCTCACTTTAAGCGTCCTTTTTTATTGTTAAATATTGATTTTTATATTGATATTTTTTATTTAATTGATCAAATAATTGATAATCAATTTTATCAACTATTTCTTTATTATTATTATTCATCCATTCTTCAATTTCATCACAACTACGTGGTACATTTGTTAATAATTCACAACCATCTTTTGTTATAACAATATTATCTTCAATTCTTACACCACCAATATGTAAATATTTATCAATAATATTTTTATTTAAAAATTTATTTAATTCATTATTATTATATCCATCATTTAATAAAGCTTGATTAAAATAAATACCTGGTTCAACTGTTATACACATACGTTCTTTTAATAAACGATTTGTTCGTAAAGATTTTAAACCTGGTAATGTTGAACGTGTATGTGGATCAAGATAACCTCCAACATCATGTGTATCAATACCAATCATATGTCCAAGACCATGTGGCATAAATAAAGCACCTAAACGTACATCCATCATTTCATCAATATCACCTTGTATAAGACCAGCTTGTTTTAAATGTTCAAGTTGTGTACGTTCAGCTAATAGATGCATATCAACCCATGAAACATCTGGTCGAACATTTTTCATTACTTGACGATTAGCATCAAGTACAGCTTCATATATAATTCGTTGTTCATTTGTAAAACGACCTGATACAGGAAATGAACAAGTTATATCTGATGCATAACAATAATATTCACCACCCATATCAAATAAACACATATCTTTCGATGTTAATTGACGATCATTTGGTGCACCAGCATGACCATAATGAAGTACAGCTGGATTTTCACCTGTTGCACATATACATGTATAAGACATATGACGCATTGCACCATAACGATGACAATAATATTGAAATAATGCTTCAGTTTCATATTCATACATGCCTATAACGAGAAAAAAAAAATAGAAAATTTCATCCAATCGATTTTATATTTCGAAAATAATTTAATATCGATATTTCCTAGACATAGTTATTATTCCAAAATATCAAATCGTTCTTGAGTTGAGATTATCTGCGTCACGTAGATATTACCATTTTTTAGGTGTAATACCGTGGCTTCCTTCAAGAAAACGGAGTTTTGAATTTCGATTTCAAACATTGTACAGAGACAAGCATCAAGCCTACAAAAATTACTTGAATGAAAATGTCTGGAAAATTGAAACTAGTTTTCTGGCATTCATTTAAAGCTTTTCGGAAATGGTTTTATTTGATAGATCAACATGAGATATCTCGGCTCTCTTCATTGGAGTGCATTTCATTTACAGAAGATCAAAGAAGTATATTTCTATTACTTTTTATAAAAAATGGAATCAACGCAGTTTGATGAAGGAAGTTGCGACATCTTATTTTGCTCTCCCAAATAAACCTATTTTCAAAAAGCATTAAATAGATGCGAGAAAACTAGTTTTGGAAGATCTTGGCTTTTCACACATCCTCACTTAGGTAATTTTATTGAAATTTTTAGATTCATTAATCCTTTTAGCTACTCAAATATTGTTTTTTTCACAATAAACTATTGTCGTTAGGGCTTGTCTCTGTACAAATTTTCAAGTTGAAATTCGAATCTAAGTTTTGCTGAGGGTAGCCACGGCATTATGTCTATAAAATATTGCAAAAATCCAATATCTCAACAGTGAGAAACTTGTAATCCAAAATTTTTCTAAAACATTTATTACTCATTAGGACGTACAAAATGCACATAGTTTCAACAACATTGGATTATAGTCATTCATGAATATATAAAATCAAAGCAGTTTGAATAATAGACTGCCAATTGTTTTTTTCATGTATTTAGACTTCGGAACTATTGCTCATTTCAAAAAAAAAAAAAAGATGGATGAGTATTTTTGAATAACTTTTGATAGAAGCAAGATAGAGGGCTGTGATTTTCACCATTGGAAAGAGGGGATGAGGGCGCATTGAATGGTATATTATAGACTTCTCTAAAATGTTTTCTTACTCAAATTTCTGAAAAAAATGCCAGAAAATTGGTTTCTCTTAAAATAAGAAAAACTCCAAAAGGTGAGTGTTTTTTTACAGAAATTAATAGAAAAATCGACTAAAAGTTTCGAATAAAATGCCTATAACTCCTGAACATGTAAATCTAAAAGTCTGCACCTTGCGCAGTTTTGTAAATCTTCATTTAGCAGTTCGAATCTGTACCTGACTATTGAAAATTGATCTTAGTCACCTAACGGAGTATGTTAATTTTAAAAAACGTCGATTTAAGTATTTGCAAAACCTACGTCAAATTATTTTGTAATATACAGTTCGATACGTCTTCATTTCCTCTTTTCAACGGTGAAAATCGTAGTTCCCTACAGTGATTCTATTAAAAGTTATTCAAAAAATACCAATTTGCCTCTTTTCTTTTAATGAGCAATACTTTTTATACACATTGATGATTCGAATATTGTTATTCTGATGAATTTCAATTTCTATTCGTTTAAAAAAACAAAATTTGCAATACAAAAATAAAAAGATAATCAAATTAGTCAGTTTAATATATATCATGAAATTCAGTTGTTGACTAATTGATAAAAGTAATCAAACTCACATTATCTTCTTATCTTATATTTGATAAAATGAATACCTTTTCAAGATTTTAAAACTCAATAATAGAATTAATTTTCAAATTTCAAAAAATATATTTACCTACCATCTTTAATATTAAGCATAACAAATTTATGTGCTTCGGAACTAATTTTATTTGTATATCTTAAAACATCTAATTCTAAATCTGTTTTTAAAACTCGACATTCAGTAATAATTGGATGTAATGTTGTTTTATCAAGATGAAATTTTTCAATTCCATTAAAATTTGCTGGTTTCGATTCACTTCCACTATCAGTATTTAAACCATGTAAAACAAGAATTAATTTTGATGTACCAACTAATTCATCAAAAGTTTTTTCTAATTCATCAACATAATAAACATGATCAACATGATAAATTTTTTTATATTCATCAGGTTCTTTTATTTTACCCATCCAAGCAACATACGATGGTGGTAAACGTGGTATAAATAATATTGATTGATTATTTTGAATATTAATTGCACCAATAAAATCAGGTTCAATAACACCAAATGTCCAATGAAAATAAGATTCTTGACGAAATAATGGTTCATGATCACTACAATAACGCATTTCACTTGTACCACCTTGTAAAAGAACAAATGAATCTGATGGTAATGTTCGATGACTACGTAATGCTTCACATAAACGTTGACGATTTAATTTAAATAATTCCATAGGTACTTTAAGTGTTTGACCACCTTTCCAAAAATAACCTGATTCACTGAAAGTATCCATTTGTTGTTCTGTAGGTAACAATTAATTATCAAAAATACAAAAAAAAATGTAGAATATTTAACGTTTGAAAATAAACAGTGCGTTATATGAATCCATATCCTGAATTTATCATTTGTTAGTTTTTGTAGTTTAAATATTTATTGATAGGTAGAACGAAAGATAATGTGATTTACCTCCTTTAATCAATTTTTTTTTGTTAATTTTAATAAAATTAAAAAATTTTTTAAAACATATTCCTCATAGAATTTTTTGTAAACAGAAAAAAAGGCATTGAACATTTTATATGAAAGGTGTCGCTAGGAATTAATGGATAACGACACTTACCCTTACTTGAATATTTTTAAAGTTTACACTTTCAATAGAACTCTAGTGGATTTGAATTTTTCGATTGAATATATTTTTTATGTATAACAGAGATGATCCTGATACAGTAGTGAACAAAAGTCTCCTACCTGCCAGATTTCAGCTATCATAGTTACTAGAGATATGAAAATTTGGTTGCGCATGATCCAGCAAGAATGCAGATCAAGGTCACTAGCTGATCCCGATTGTTTAAACACAACAGGAATCATGATGGATAACACTTATTTTTTCTTTTGAATTTTATACTTCTGAAAAGAAAAGATTTTATGAGTCAGTCAGTCTTTCATTAGTTACGACTATTCATGCTAATAATTTCATCGAAACCCATAAATCTTTGCTAGAATGCTGGCGATTTTACTACGACTATTTGAGAGGCGAAAAACTTCCTAATATTCTTTTATAGACTGTAACTCAATAATATTTCCATGAATCGAGCTCAAATCTTTAGAGAAGCTTTGCTCATAATTGAACATTATTGCCTACAAGTCGTAGAAAAGAAACTTCTCCTAAATGAAAACGACATGCCAATAATCACCATACTAGTGCCGAGGATTCATAGACATACAGAGGCAACAATCTTACAGTAAATGACATGAGCTTTTAAGTGACGAAAGACTATATACTGGGCTTTAGTTGCAAATAAAACTATCAAGAATTAGACATGTAATCGATAAAAGTAATAGACAGCTTTTTCAGGTTCAAAAGCTTGAAGCAAAAAAAAACAAATAGGCGTCGTCAATGATAATTCCCGTTGCATTTAAGCTATCAAGGCGATCTTATGCTTCTGACCTACATTTTCTTGGTGGAATATGTTCACACAAATATTCAAACCTTCTGCATATATAGAAGCTGAGGTTTGTTAGGAGAAGGAAACTTTTCTTCATTACTAAATTTTTTTTCATTTCTAATTCCAAAACAAAGTTCAAGACATTATCATATGAGAAAATATGATATTAATGCATTTAAAAGTTTAGATTCTTCAATATCTATTTTATATGAATGTTAATAAGAGCAAAACATGAATTTGTCACGTTTGTCTCTCACAGTCTGACACATACAGTATAAATCATGATTTGAATATTTCATGAGGCTTTGTTTTTGTGCTGTATAACTAAATGACTGGCGTAACCACGGTAGGGCTAATTTAGGTAGTGCTGAACCACCGAAGCTGTTTACTCAATTACCTTGCAGTTTATAAAAAAAGATATTTTTTTTTAAGAAGGTGAAACTAAAACACAGGCGACATAAATGAATCCTCAGCTCAATGAAAATTATCGTTGAACAAAACAAACAAAGATAAGAACTAGTTTTATTCACAAGTATATTTAATGCTTTCGTAACTACGACATAATAAAAGTAGAAAAGGTCTTACGCTTTTACTTGCAAAGATACAAATAAAACGATTCTAATTATCAGTTCTTCGTAGTCATTGTGAATATAAAAATAATGTCTTGCGTAAACAGATAACTTCAATTTATCAAGTTTATTCGATTTACATATAATAAAATCGCAATTATAAATACTCTTTATCAAAGATCCATTGAACTGATTCGATAGAGAATGCACTTGAGTTAACAAAAAAAGAGTTCTACTTCTCAGATGTGCACAACTTCTAGTTAAGATTTATTAATCACGATGATTTATTTTAAAAAATTGGTTCTTACGACTATTCCATTAGTTACTTCAATATTTGTTCGTAGTGAGGATGCTATTGTATCTATCATTTGAAGATTTACAATGAACTGAAATAAATGCAAACATTATTTTCAACAAATATACTACCATCACCCTTGTTTTCTAACAAAGAAATACTCTTAACGATCGTCAATACATTTTCAAAAACTAGCAGCGCGATGATTACAATCATCTGATGCTTTCTGGCTACGTCACTAAGCTAAATCGAATATTACAAAAAAAAACAAGAATCGATTCTTTATTATACCAGTTGATAGAAAATATGTTTCACTATAATAAAACCGTTACAACATCATGAATAGATTTATTTTTAATAATAAAAGCTTCTAAGTCATATAACTTCAAGTTTATTTATTAGAAAAAAATTTTTCTTTCATTGATTCAAAAATGATAAAAACTTAATAAATAAATGCTAATTCCAATGATTGCCTTATACAATAAAATATAAATCATACCAGCTCATTTCATAGTGAAACTTCGCGATTTGTTATAAAAATACAAAAAGTTCTAAGCTTTTTCTTATGTCAAAAAAATATGTACAGATGCTCGTTCACATTTTTTTGTGAAACACTTCAAATGATTCTTGTACTTATCAATAGGTCGAAATCTTGACAACAAAACAATAGATGATATTTGTCGCATTGATTCTTTGAAATGTTAAAGATTGAACGTATGAATAACACATCGTAATCCTTAATGATGTTTCAACCTTTTTTTTTTTCTATATCATGATATACTAAGAATTCATTGCTATTCAAACATCTATCCGTCAAACAGAAATGTAACCTTACAAAATACATATATATACAAATTTACAAATGGTCTATCACAGCTATCAATAATTAGATCATGTTTTTACTTTATCATTTCATCGTCAAAATGAACGAAGCCATTCATCATATAGTCATGTAACATAGAGCAATAAACATTAAAATTGTCAAACAAAACGTGATATTTCAATGCTTTGTACATGCATGCAAAAAATCATAATATTCTTTCAAGACACATTGAATAAATAATATATATATATATATATATTTTTTTTTTTGCATCATCATTTTCATGTTTTAATCTATTTCATTCTAACACAATTGAAATTTATATTCCAATTATGTTCACCAGCTGAGAAAAAGATGAAAATTTTGAACCATAAGACAAGTGTATTTACATAAGATGATGTTTTCATATTTGAAAAAAAATAAATTAAACAATTGTTTTCATATAAATCGATTCACACTTTATTTTGAATGCTTTTTATACACATATGTTTTTATTTTACATTTCAAATTGTAATACAATACGACGTAATCAATAACACAACAAGAATCTAATGATTGTTCAAAAAACAAAAAAAGAAAAGTTTGTTTTATTTATGTATTATATGAAATTAAAATACTATTTTAAATAAAATAATTGAAATAGTCATTTCGATTTTAGATATCACAAATAATCGAATTTATTTGTTAATTTCATGCTTATTCTCTATATAATAAACAAATAACCAATTTTGTTTTCACTCAGCCGTATTTTCTGTTGTTGACACTAAATTATATAGATAGTCTTATTCCTTATGTATATATATCAAGGTTGATAATTGAATTTTTGATCCTTTTCGTTTTCAATCTCACACATTGTATTATCATGCAAATAGAAAAATGATTGTATGTTTATTCATGAATTTTGCTTGAACATAAATTGATTCATTATGCAAAGAAAACAACAACTGATATCAGTTATGTGTATCGCACCTTTATTTTCTTTGTTTCTCAAGTTATTTATTCAATGAGCATATTTGATAACAGATACATTGATGTGAACAAACTTTATTCTAACAAAAGGTCATTGTCATCAAATATAGCCTACGGGAAAAAAAAAAGAAACTCATGACTAACATTATATTCAATCGACAAGAAGATCACAGACTAGACGATAACGAAACACGAAATAGATTTGCTATTTATTTTAAATCACATATATGTATGATATTGAATCTACTGAATAAAAATGAGAGAAAATATTTTGAATAGCTCGAGGCATGTTCTCACTAGCGTGACAATAATCAAGCAATATATTTCATATTTAATTGTTTTAGCACGAGCAACAATGACGGAAATTATTGTCGGTCTTGCTTTAGGCATATGTAGCTATGGTCGGGTTTTTTTTTTCTTTTTAATGAGTTTTATAAATATTATCCGAATATACGAACAAAAAAGGAAAAAAAAAGATAAAAAGCTAATCTATTGAGTTGTTGTTTTTCACAACAAACACAAAAAAAAGAAAAGAAAAGATCGGTTTCGTTTTAAATGAGACAAAACAGTGAGAAAATTCATCATCATCATAAGCTATTAGAGTCATTATTATGTTTTCTATGTATTCTTTGTTTCCTCTTGTATGATGTAATTAATATAAGATGGATAGTTGAGTACCAGCACACCATCACTAGCAATTAGATACGTTCGAATGACGATGACGAATGATTCGTTGATGAACGACGCCATCATTCTAACAACTCTCCATTCGTCTCGGTGTATGAACAAACAATTTGCGCTTCTGTCTTCATTCTAATCAATAGCGAAGTGTAATATTGTATATAGTCAAAAAAGGCATGGATGGGTAATGATAGTAGGTTCAATTTTGTTTCTCTTAACACATATGAAGGTCTTATGAAATATAAGAATGAATGAATATTTCGTAACCTTATAGAAATGCAATAGAAACTTGAATAATTCGATAGGCATGGACGAACGAGAAATATCCATTAAAACAGTTGATCAAACAAAGAGAATAGAGATGATTTCCACAAGGATTTGCACAGCGTATATTGTGTATGCATACAATGTCCGTATAGATGTGTGAAGAGTGTCAATAGTACAAGTTCGTGTTAATCTATGTACAATGAATGGATGGCGTGAAGAGGGGCACAGACAAAAAAAAAATCTCAT